GAGATGACAGTCAGGAATATCTCCTTTAGACTGTTGCATGAACAAGAAACTTTTATTGCACCAAGCCACTATTGATTGTCTCTAAAGTGCAATAATTAGACTCACCTGGCTAATGCAATCTATCACACTATCACAATTTAAAGACCTCTGTAAAATAATTAATCTAACTTAACTCTCCCTTAATTCTTTTTTTTTTTTTTTTTTTTTTTTTTTTTTGAGACAGAGTTTTGCTCTTGTTGCCCAGGCTGGAGTGCAATGGCAAAATCTCAGCTCACTGCAACCTCTGCCTCCCAGGTTCAAGCAATTCTCCTGCTTCAGCCTCCCAAGTAGCTGGGATTACAGGCATGTGTCACCATGCCTGGCTAATTTTGTATTTTTTTAGTAGAGACGGTGTTTCTCCATGTTGGTCAGGCTGGTCTTGAACTCCTGACCTCAGGTAATTCGCCCGCCTTGACCTCACAAAGTGTTGGGATTACAGGGGTGAGGCACCACACCTGGCCCCTTAATTCTTACTTAGTAACTTTCTTCCGGGAAAGAGATACCTAATTAGGTATGAGACATGAGTATTCGGATTCACTAATAAATATATTTTAACTGTGTAAATTAACAAATTAGCATTCCTAATCTCTTGTATGTTTGCTTTAGATGAGTAAATCTTCCAAGACTTGGTTGACCATGGCTGAACTGACAAATTGAGTTTCTAAACCAGCAAAACTGAACCCATAATCATCCAATCAAAGCTTGAGCATTCCATGAGGCTTAGCTTGAAAAAATGAAGAAAGTGCTTCCCTCTTTGTCATCAAATACAAAAATATATGCCCATCATTATTTTGGCATTAAATATTTATATATAACTATCATAGATGTTTAGTAAATCTATTTCTATCATAGAAACTGACTGGACAGTCTGGATAGTCCAAACCATCCAGGGGACACCCTCAAATCTGGAAGTAAGAGTTGCGAAAACAGCTATTGCATAGTCTACACCACCTGCTAGACCTTAGACCTTGCCCAGATCCTGTGCACTTAGAAATGACTCTTTTAAAATATTATGTTTTAGCAAGATTGAGTGCCTGATATGATATAACAACCTTCAATCCTTCTAAATGTTAGAAAGCAGTAAATTAAATGCAAAAAGGTGGTATGCTACTAAATGTAGATGCGTTGACAATAGCCAAAATAGCAGCTGACACTAAAAGACAGAGACATAACTAAAATACATGCAGTTAACCTCTAAAAGTACAACTGTCTGGGGCAAACAACCCTTCATTAAACTAGGACTTTCTGAACTCTTAGAATGTACATAGCATCTTGTTGATAATAGGGTGGACAGGAGACAAGAAATATGTGTAGTTTGTGTCATCAAGAAGCTTATAATTGAGTTGAGAAAAAAAAGAGAGAGGCCAGATGCGGTGGCTCACGCCTATAATCCCAGCATTTTGGGAGGCTGAGGCAGGTGGATCACCTAAGGTCTGGAGTTCAAGACCAGCCTGGCCAACACTGTGAAACCCCATCTCTACTAAAAATACAAAAAATTAGCCAGCTGTGGTGGTGGGCACCTGTAATCCCAGCTACATGGGAGGTTGAGGCAGGAGAATCACTTGAACCTAGGGGGCAGAGGTTGCAGTGAGCTGAGATCGTACCACTGCACTCCAGCCTGGGCAAGAAGAGCAAAACTCTGTCAAAAAAAGAGAGAAGAAAGGAAAGAGAGAGAGAGAGAAAGAAAGAAAAGACAGAGCATATGAAGCTTAATAACAACGATTTTGTTTAAAATATAAAGTAATAATACTAGGAATAAGGATGGATGAAACTGACAGGATAAAATATACTATATTTTATGGCAGGAGATGATGACAGGAGAGATTATTCAGGGTAATTGGAGTAGCCAGAAAAGGTTTTGTGATAGAGGTTCTCTTCTTTTGTTAGAAATTATGAGTTTAGTTGTTGTTTTAATGCCTAAAATAGCACGTACAATAGAAATGTAAATAAAAGACCTTGGGGAGAGTCCCACTATTGCCTGAAGAATTTCTAACTAATGAATCATCAAAGAAACCAAGAGGAGGGAGGTAGGACTGGTAACATGAGCTGGTTGCCCATTTAGTACACTCAGGACATGTTCGTCATCCGTGCTCTAAGCTGAGAGCTGAAGATGTCCTCAAACAGGAAACAGGAACTTATTGTACAGCCTAAAAATGGAGCAGGCACTTTGAAGTAGAAAAAGACCTCTAGTTTGCTTCTGGCTCAGTGACCAGACATGATTCTGAAGTTTCAGATAAAGGCAGATTTGTCATCAAAGCTCTGTGACTATCAGCCTCTTCATTTATTTGTTTATTCATTCATGTATTCAATAAACAATTATTAGATGCCTGTTGTAGATCCAGAACAACAACAATAACAAACAAGCTCCATTTCCTCAAAGAATATTCTGTGGGGAAGGGAGACCTATATAGGTCAATAGTTAGAACGAAAAAATGTGTGAAATGTATTGACAAAGGGATATGAAGGAGTGTGAGAACTCCCTGCTCTTTCACTTTCACAGTCATGCTTCTGTCCAGAGCACACGTCTCCTCTACATTCAGTCAATTCTATCACCCATTTATACTCTGTCTTTAGCCTCTGAACTCTAAGCATTTTTTAGGAATGCTTCCCGAACCCCCAAACCTGGGCTGATGCTTCTATGAGTGCTTTTGGTGATCTGCATTGCCACAGAGGCACTTAGGACACAGCATTACATCTGCCTGCAAACCCATCCCTGGGCAAATCACCTATGCAAGGGTTAGGATTGCTCTTTTTTTTTTTTTTGCCCCAGCACTACACCCATTGTTTCTCTGTTCTTGGCATGTAAGCAATACATGCTTGAAAGAATTAATTTAGTAATTAAGGATTAAATTTATTATTCCAAATATTCTAAGAAATACATAATACATATTAGAACAATGTCTATTGTGAACTCTTGAAATGCATTCTACAAAGCACTTGAGTAAGCTTTAGTTATCTGGAAAATTCACTTGTATGGAAACTTCATTCCATGAAAGTGCTGGGTGAACTGTACTAGGGTAGATGAATTTTCACGCTTTCAAACTTGTAAACAGTAAATCAAACAGCTGCCGTGATATTCTTCCAATCCTCAATTAACTATGGTGACCAATGGGGAAAATATTTAGTAATAGTTAAACCAAATCCACTGAAAACCTTCCAGTGGAATTCTAACCTTCTTATTATGCCTTTTATCAGTGCTGTTACACATTGTTAAAAATGTCTTTTTTTTTTCCTTGTCTTCTTCCTTTTCCTTCGGCAAATGTCCTTATGAATAAGAAGATGGTTAGAAGACCACAAAGATAGAGCCTGGCACTCAAACACAGCATAAAATACGAAGACAAAGTGGCATTGATCTGGGAATTCTGGAAAAATTTAGAATTTTTTTTGACCACGATATTACAATAATTATTAACATAAATAATCAAGAGAAAGGCTTGCTGTAATAGCAATCCCTGTGCAGAAGGGCTTCAGAAGGAGTTTCACCTCTACAGTGACAAAGCTGGTAGTTTGTAGTAATAGTAAAAAATTACAAAAACAGTTAACAATAAACGTTTTCTTAAAAGGCCCAAAGGTGGAAAAAACATGCTGGATCCACAGAAAAACTTATACACAAATGTTTATAGCAGCATTATTCATAACAGAGAAAAGGTGGAAATGACCCAAATATCTATCAACTGAAAAATAGATAAACAAATGGTGGTATATCCGTATAATGGGATATGATTTGGCAATAAAAAGGAATGAAGTAGTGATACATGCTATATCATGGATGAGCCTTGAAATCAGTATGCTAATTGAAAAGTCACAAAATACTGCATATACACTTTTCTTTACGTGAAGTGACCAGAAGAGACAAATCTGTAGAGGTAGGGAACACATTAGTGGTTGCCTAGGGCTGGACGTATGGGAGGCTGCAGGCATGATAGCTTAAAGGGTATGGGGCTTCTAAAACTGACTGTGGTGATGATTACACATCTGTGAATATACTAAAAACCACTGGATTATACACTTTAAATGGGTGAATTTTATGATATGTGAATTATATCTCAGTAAAGCTGTTCTTAAAAGGCAATCTACTGGAAACAGAGTAAAAATGTATTGGCCAGGAGAAATCATACCTCATTAATATTTTAAAATATTTTACAGGAACAACGAGGCATATGTAAATAAAGAATGAGTGATCTACTTTTATCCTCAAGAAGACCCAGGTGAAAGTCCATACTAAATGCTATTCTGAAATCAAGTCCTCATGAAATGGGGCAAAGATGAGTCTGGTTTGTCTTAGAAAAGAAATAGTTTTGAAACACCAAAACAAGTACAATGGAAAAAATATAAAAAGAAGGATTCTTCTGAGATTGCTGCTAAAGCTTGCCTTATCTATTATTTTTTTCATCAATCTGGAATTTCGTGATAAGTTCTACTTGTTTTTATATAACTCTAACATTTTTCAAGTAAGGAAAAAATAAATCAGTGCAGATAGAACACAAAGATGTTTCCAAAAAATGGTCTAATTTAATGCAAGCATTAAAAGAAAATCCTCAGGCTTGTCATATAACAGTTTAAGAAATTCAATGGCTTATTTATCTGATAAAAAGAAAAAACAAAAAGGAAGGAAGGAAGGAAGGAAGGAAGGAAGGAAGGAAGGAAGGAAGGAAGGAAGGAAAGGAAGGAAGCAAGGAAGCTTACACATTGATCTTCCAATGGCTGGGCATGTGACCCTTCTCCTTTGGATATGGGTATTTATGATAAATCAGTCAGTCATGATAAATCACTGAAAAGAATATCTCAAGATAGAACAGTTCTCATTGTAGATGACAATTTGGAATCATCAATAAATTATTTAAGAGATCATTCAGCTGAAGTTTACAAAGTTCCAGCTTTACTGTTGCATCTTTATACTTACATTAGTTTAATGTGGTACATCAATTCAAAGAAGAAATAAATCAATTAATAATATTTACCTTCTTTTTCTGACCTATTAAATAACACACTGCTTGTTATATTATCTTCAGTCCATTTAACTGGAATGTTCCATGTATAACTAAAATTTTTTAAAAAAGAAAAATTTAACTTTTATTACTAAAAGATAAAATTTCAAGAGTAAAAATCACTAAAAAGCAATAGACGAGTGTATTTTTCTTTTAAGTGATTCTCTAGTCCATACTATACAATTAATGTAGCTAATACAACATTTTAGGGATGAAGATAAGCTGTATAACTGTTTTCAATTTCTATAAATCTACAAAATTTAGAAATTGCATCAAAAATTAGCTAAGCATGAAAAAGATTATTTCAATAAAATGCTTTGGCATTTTAGAATAAAGATATTGCATAACTTGCACAAATACAGCACATCTTATTATAATATTGAACATTCACACACATACTTGCACACAGTCTAATATGCTACCATTTCCATCAAGGAACACAAAACATTTTTAGAAATTAGAAGACAAATAGTAAACTCTGTAAAGGAAATAACACATTTTAGAAATTATGCTGAAATTCTACCACCACCATCATCCCCTAAAGCCTCTCACACTGTCCCCTAAATATCCCCTATTTAGAACTAGAACTGATGGACTCAAGGGAAAAATCATCAGGTAAGCACGTTTCAGGAGTTTTCAGTGCTTCTCTTTAGCTACTTAATATTTTCTTGCAGAGTGGGTATGTGGGAGCTAACTTTGTATTTTGATATATATACTTAACAGTTTTGTCTTAAAATCTCATTTTTTTGATGGTTTGTTCTTATCTCATATCAGAAAATGCAGATCTGGAGAGAAGGTGAATCTACGTACCATTGGCTGGTTTAGGTTTCAACTCAAAGTTGGTTTATCTGACAGATTCAATTTCCTAACAGAGAATTAGGGTTAACATTTCACCTTTTCAAGATATAACAAAATTTATATCGTTCAAGGAGAATATATTTTTGCTATATGCCTGAAAGAAGTAATCCCTTGTTTTATAACTATTGAAGTGTTTTACAGGATTGAGTTTTTTTTTTAAAATCAGCTTCTTTGGAGCATTTTATTGCAGTGCAATGTTTTTGGCTATACATTTCATAAAACCAACACATAAATTGCTTCTTGGGCCTTATAGTGGACACTGTTGGTGCTTCCCTCTTATCTCCTTAGACCCTTTTCTCTCTCTCTCTTTTCTTTTCTTTTCTTTTTTTTTTTTTTTTTTGAGATGGAATTTCCTTCTTGTTGCCCAAGCTGGAGTGCAATGGCATGGACTCGGCTCACTGCAACCTCCGCCTACCAGGTTCAAGTGATTCTCCTGCCTCAGCCTCCCAAGTAGCTGGGATTACAGGCACCTGCCACCACACCCAGCCAATATTTTTGCATTTTTAGTAGAGATGAGGTTTCACTATGTTGGCCAGGCTGGTTTCAAACTCCTGACCTCAGGTGATCCACCTGCTTCAGCCTCCCAAAGTGCTGGGATTACAGGCATAAGCCACTGCGCCCAGCCCCCTTTGTCATTTTTGTACACCCTGGATACCAGTGTGCTTCCCCTGCCAACAATCATTGCCTGGGTCTCTCTGACAGAGGACTTCCTGCCAGCTGCCTGAGCAAGGAAAGCTAAAAGTTCCTGGGAATTTACGTCCTTCTGGATGTGGCCCTTAGCAATGACTGACAGGTGTGAGAATGTTTCCTGCCCCATCCATCAGGAGCACTCTGAAGTATGATCTGCACTGGCTCCAGGACTTTCCTGCAGGACTGAGTCAAAGTTACCCTCTTCAGGACCTGCTTCATATGGCACCTTTGCTGGGCTTCCTTTCCTTCTCTATCCCACTGCCTGCTCCCCCACTGATCTTTCCTGGAAACACTTCCTAACAAGTCACTTTCATGCACATGATCATTTCAGGGTCTGCTTCTAGGGACACCAAACTAAGAGCCCTTGCAGCTTCTCAGAAGACCGACGAAGAACTTTGCTAAAACACCACATATTACTTATATATCTCACTTTCACTGTTCTGCTGAATTGGTGCTGCCAAGTAAACTAACATTTTATGCTTCCTCTTCTTTCCCCAATACCAATCTGACTGAAACAACAGAGCAGGCAGTGTCTGGATGACCTAGGCCCACAGTTAGATTTCCTATTTTGACGATCCTCTCTAAAACGTGGCCTCTGGGACTACACCATGCCTCAAAAGGGCAGAAGATATTCTAAGGTCATGTACAAAACTACTGCTCTGAGGTCTTTAAGAGTATCATAAGATAGAAATGATAGAAAGTTGAAGCTATACAATTTTATAGTTTTAGAATCACATAATCTAATGTAATCTAAGCTGAGTAAAATGACAGACTTGAGAGTACAAAATGTGAAGAAATGGAAATTACATAAATGAAATGATTGAGTTTTCTACATATTGGCTAAAATTCAGGAGTATCAGAATTCATTTTTATAGACATAGTTCACTATGTAACCATGTAAGAAGTTCTAGCAGTATGAAATATGGCCACTCTAATTTTCTCTAAGGAAACTGACTTTGATTGCACCAAGGTGACACACTTACTCCCATTCCCTCTGCCTGTTTACACGGAGTGGACTATCAAAGGCACGTATGTTTTCCTGAGAGAGACATCCCGGGATGGAGATGTGAAACTGGCTCGTTTCTAAGAGATGGTTAAGGACATGGTGTTAAAGCAATAACTTATACATGAGTGAGCCATTTAAATTATAAAAAGGTTCTAGTCAGTAAGAATTCCCTAATCTTGGATTATTTAAACAGTGAGAAAATATTTAGAGAAGACCATTGAACTCACAGTAAAACTTAACTGGTCACACTGTCTACCAAACAAGAATACATCTGAACAGAAAGCAGATGAAAGTTAGGGTCGGAAAAAAAAGCTAATTCCTTTATGGGTACATGAAGGCATTTATTACTATCAAATTCTTCTTTTAAATGAAGAAGAATCATTTTGCTATAATGTCTCTTTCTTATTTGTTTAGAAGCTACTACTGATTTTTAACAAACGTACTCAACAGAGAAGAACCTATTTTCTAAGTTTCTTTTCCTATGCATATATGACTTCTTAAAAAATAAAAATAGAATGAACATATTAAATTTATGATAAGCCTTCACAAAAAAATCATGCAACTATGAATATTAATAAAGTGAAAATAGTATTTGAAGGTGGAAACTGAAGACAAATATTAAAGAAAGTATAAATGTTAATACAGTTCTATGTTCTAAGTCTTGGTGAATAAAATTTTTAAGTTTATTGTTACAAAAGGTGATTTTATACCTAATGATATATTTAGTTCACTTGGCAGTAAAATTGTTTGGTTTGTGTGGAGAGAAATTCATAACCAACAAGCAGCTTTTAAAAATCCAACCTCATTAATTAAAAAAACTCCTTAGTTTAAATTATTGACTGTCTTTGGCTTAACAAATTAATGGACACATATGAGAGGAAGTAACAGTTACTGGGAAATTTTCCCAGTGTAAGTTTATTTCTCTAGAGAGAAATACTTTTTAAATTTTAATATCCAGAGGCTCCAGCAGTATTCAATAGTTAATTTAATTTGCTGGAACACAAAACAGTAACTATAAAAGAAACATTTGATAGTTGTTAACAGAACAATCACAGAGATTATTCTATGATTTTTGTAGTTGAATTATCACCCGAAAACAAGTCAGATCTATGTTTCAATTCACGTATCATGAAGAGGAAAAAGTGAAAAAGGTTTTCTCCATCATCATCTAATCTTTCCTTTCTAAAATAAAGGTAAGGAGTACACTTACCTTTGTAGTTCAGGGAGTATACAGACACTCCCTGAAGGGACCTCATATTGGTCTAAGTAGTCTAATTTCCTTTGTTGTAGTGTGACCTATTGATTTTCAGAACTTGCATTATAGCAGGATTCCCAGTTTCTCTGAGTATCACTTAGTGTGGGAGGCTGGGTGCCTGAGGTTTCTAGGAAGAGAGGCCAAAGATGGGCCTCAACGAGGTGAGTACAATGGCTTTCTCAAGGCTTCTCCCGTTCAGGTGTCAACTGGCATCTTGGAAGCAGCTAATTTAATAATTGTGAGAGTTCATCATTCTCTGATGCCTTGGAAAGTCAAGTGCTTCAGCAATTTTAATTTTTGGAAACACCTGAGTGTGCTGTAGTGTGACTTATTTCCCCAACCCCTGAACTGTAATCCAGAAAACAGGGTCTGTTACCCCCCTTATACAGTACTCATCATGAAATGAGACTACAAAGATCTTTCTCTTCTGAAAAAATATGACTACGATCACAATGGTGCAAGATGAGAACGATATTCTAAAAGGAGATTGTTCTCTGCCGATTCACCTGATTGAATTCCTTCCACATTGTTCTTTAATTAGGAATCTTAGCTCAACAAAATCTTTGGAACATCCACCATGCCCTCCAGCCCACAGCCACTCTTACCTAGTCCAGGCCTATCGTTTCTGTCAACTGTCACGTGGGCTGCTCATTGCAATATTGTTCTAACTGGTCCCCCTGCCTCCACTCCTGCCCCACTGCCCAGGATCTGTGATCAATTCTCCACAGTGCAGCCAGAGGAGAACTTTGAAAAATTTAAATGCGATCCTGCCAATTCTCTCCTTAAAATCCTCAAATTTGCACACTATTTTCCAAAATCTTTAACATGGTCTGCATACCTGGTCCCTGCCTTCCTCTTCATCTTCACCTCACACCACTTTCCCAGTCACTCTCTGCTATCCCGTTTCTTGGAACCAGACTGCCTGGGTTCACATCAAGGCTCCATTATTCACACTGTGTGACCTTGAACAAATTACTTAATCACTTTTGCCACAAATTCCTCATTTACTATAAAATAAAATACATCTGAAGTGCTTAAAATAGTACCAATCCCTTGGTCAATGTTCAATAAGTGTTGTAAATCATGTGTACAAGACTTTGGGGCTTTCATATATGTTATAGTTTCTGTTTTGCAGGGTGCGGGGGTTGTTTTATTTTTTTGAGACAGATTCTCACTCTGTCACACAGGCTGGAGTGCAGTGGCATGATCTCAGTTCACTGCAACCTCCGCCTCCCAGGTTCAAGCGAGTCTCCTGCCTCAGCCTCCCAAGTAGCTGGGATTACAGGTGTGTGCTACCATGCCCGGCTAATTTTTGTATTTTCAGTAGACAGGGTTTCATCAGGTCGGTCAGGCTGGTCGTGAACTCCTGACCTCGAGTGATCCACCCACCTCGGCCTCCCAAAGTGCTGGAATTACAGGCATGAGCCACCACGCCCAGCCATAGTTTCTGTTTTGAACATCTGGAACAGTCACTTCCCCACACCAATTTGCTCACCTAAAATATCACATCCTTGGAAAAGAAAGCCTTCTGTGACCCTCCCTACCCTACTCCACCTCCTGCTTCCCTCTCCCAATTAATTGAGGCTCAGCAAATCAGTGGACTCATATAGTAAGGGAGAATAATTACTGTGAAACTTTCCAAATGGAAGCTTGTTTGACAAGAGACATATTTTTAGATTTAATATCCAAATATTCTAGTGTTATTAGAGGTGGTCAATCTAATTTGCTAGAACGTAAAACAGTAACTATAAAGGAACCAGTTTAGAGTTATTAAAGACTTTCTAAAACATCTTTTTGTGTTATTCTAATTGCTACAGGATAATTGATCTTACAATAATTTATATATGTGACTATAAAATTATGTCAAATCATTAAGAAAGAGAAAAAGAAAACAAAGGGTCTCTTCAGTGACAATCAGGCAGTGGAGATTATAGGACACCTGGGTGGGAATGGGTGAAAGATTCTCTCTACTAAAACAAAGTATTCAAATGTTGAAAGAGGGGGCAATAAAAACTGGGCATGGGTGAAATGGGAAAAAGAATCCTATCTAGTCCAGACACAGTGGCTCACGCCTGTAATCCCAGCACTTTGGGAGGCCGAGCTGGGTGGATCACCTGAGGTCAGGAGTTTAAGACCAGCCTCATTAACATGGTGAAACTCCGTCTCTACTAAAAATACAAAAATTAGCTGGGTGTGGTGGCATGCACCTGTAATCCCAGCTACTCAGGAGGTTGCAGCAGGAGAATTGCTTGAACCAGGAGGCGGAGGTTGCAGTGGGCTGACTGGGTGACAGAGTAAGACTCCATCTTAAAAAAAAAAAAAAAAAAAAAAAAAAAGCCAAACAAACAAACAAATAAAAAGAACGCCTATCTGTTGGGTACTAGACTTTTCATATTTGTCTTCTCTTTCATATTTGCCAGCTCTATGTGTGTTTGCCCTATGTTTTTGGAGGATTTGCCAAATTTATTTTTAGTTAGTCTATTACTTTCATTGAGAATCAGAAATTTAATCTTTCAGAGTTATTTTGTGTTCTCAATTTGTCCTTTCTAAGACATTCTGCTCCTAGTTCACTGGTGTAATAGTTCTTCATCTCTGAATATATCTCATACATTTATTTTGTTTCCTTAGTTGTGCATCTTATAAATCAGGATTTGTTTGTTTTTTCACATGAAATTTTAACCTTTTATCCTTCCAAATTGTTTTCATGTATCTTGTGATCTTTGTCATTCATAGTTAAGAAAGAATTAAATTGATTCTGATGGCTGGTGTGTACTCTCTCTATTATCGAGAAGGGATTATATATATATAAATGTGTATATATATATAATTATTATTTATTTTATCTTATTTTATTATTTTTAGGGATGAGTTCTTGCTCTGCCACCTAGGCTGGAGTGCAGTGGTGCGATCATGGCTCACTGAAGCCTCAAACTCCTGACTTGAGATGACTCAATCATCTTCAGGTCTCAGCCTTCTGACTAGCTAGGACTACAGGCGTGAACTACCGTACTCCAGTGCCTTTTAAAAATTTTTTTGTAGAGACGGGCTCTTGTTATGTTGCTCAGTCTGAAGGGAGTTGTATTTTTGAAATAAGTTTCTCTGCTGAGCAGAAGGTCTGACTGGGAGCTCTGTGTGTGTGTATGAGGGGTGCTGTCAGCTCCAGCCCACCCATCCTGCAAATGACATAATGAGGGAGGCTTTACTCTGAGAGTCTCAACCAAATGGAAATCCTTAGCTCTCCTCTACTGTTTTAGTCAATTTCTTTAGGAAACAAGCCCACTGTATTTTTGCCTGGGGCCATTGCCAGATTTCTGCGAGCTCTGTGCGGACAAAGAAATGGTAGGTGGCGGAGAGAAAGTAGGGGTGAGGGGTGGTCCAACTGGCACAATTGTCCTGAGACTAGACTATCAATTCATTGCCCTATTTTTAGCCTCACTTCTCACTCTTACTCTTCAGTCTTCATGCTGACACTGAACCTAGAACCTGTCTAGGGATAGGGAAGTTCCCTTATTATTATCTGATTGTATTTTCCTCAGACTGTATTTCTCCTTCTGCTTTTCTTCTTCAGAACTCTGTGATACATATGGCCCCTCCCTTTATTTTCTTTATTCTTGTAGATTTATTTCTTTAGGTGATTCCATTCCTCTCTTCAATATCTGTAAAGAACAGGACATGGATGCATGTGCTCTGCCCACCATTTCAAACCTGGAAATCACTCGGCTATTTTTGAATCCCTTGTTCCCCTAAAGGCACTGTGGCTTTATACTTGTATATCAGTCATCCATCATGTACTCAAGAATAGGATATAAAACAAATGGCCAATATTTCTGCCAAATTTCTGTGGTTTTTTTCAAATGCATTATAGAGCCTTACCCAAGATCTGAAGGGGGCTGAGAAGGGTTAGCTCTTGAGTCCAGCAGAAACCGTTTCTGTGTGATGTTCTTGCCACCATTCACGTTAAGCACAGGATAACCCATCTGTCTGGTCCAGGTGTCCATTACTTCTTTCACTGGGAGCCTACTCGCCTAAGATTGAAAACAAAATGGAGACTAATTAATTAACAAATATGATAAATAAAAGGATAGAATAGTTAGATTAGAAAATGATTGGTAAGCCATTTGTAAATCAGACAAAGAAATATTTGGGGATATATACTCTTCCTTACCTCTTCCAGTGCTGCCCAAAAATCAGAAGTTTTTGCATTCTTGAATTGGTATTTTTCCAAGTACATCTGTGTGTAAAAGATAATCAGTATGTTAGAAGTCAATGTTTGCTTTTCTCATCCTTTCATAAGATGAACCGAACCCCTACTACTCAATTCTGCCTCCACTGCACAAAACCAGCCATAGACAACATGTACATGAATGAGCATGGCTGTTGCATTGATATTTGAATTCCATACAATGTTCATGTATCATAAAATATTCTTCTTCTTTTGATTTTTTTCAACCATTTAATAATGTGGAAACCATATTTAGTTTATGGGCCTTAAAAAATACATGGATGGTGGGCCAGATTTGGCCTGAAGACAGTAGCTTGCTGATCTCTGCTCTAAGGAAATAAATACACAACCTTTTGAATAATGATGATGATGATGGTGGTGGTGGTGGTGGTGGTAGTGGTGGATGAATTGGGGACGTTATTCACTGTAAAGCATAAGTCTTCACTCTTCAAATATTTTAAAGTACAAGTTTTTAGATTTAAGCTTCTTCTGGCAATTTTCTTTACAAAACCTCTTTCTATATGTGAGTTTTCAAATATAGTGTGATTTATCCCCAGAAAAAATTCCCAGTCTTCTAATCCCATAACTGGGAGCCACTTGGAGTTTGCCAGTAAACTTTCCAAAGTTCCTGCTGTATCACTCCTCCATTGCTTTCTAGAATTGTCCTGACTGAAAGTGGAGGTCTTTGATAGAAATGGAACCATCTTCAGTGTTCTTAATGTTAACTTTGCACATATCATTTTGCTCTAAGTTGCTACAATTTTCAGTAGGTGCTGTACCTAAATCACGTTACCTCCTAAATACCTCTTCTTTTCAGGCATAGAGATAAAACAGTATTAGCAGGACTCCAAGAAGCCTGGAAGAGGGGTGAAGCCACTTTGGAATGCTGCCTCCATATTTGTTCTTTTGGTTAATTCACTTCTTGGCGCTACCACCAGAGGGCAGGCAAAGGAAGGGAGAAGCAGCGATCACTTTTAGGTATTCATTACAGAGTTGCACAAATCATTCATCATATCTTAATAAAATAGTTGAATATTTGGTAAATCAAATGTCTAATATTTTAAAATAATAATAATTGAATACTTGTATAGTAATAATTATAACCATAGCTGTGTTTTGATGACAATTTCTATTGAATAGTATCTTTTAAAATTAATTTAGAAGAGTTTATTTGACTACTACAATGTCTTTAGCTTAGAAACATGCATTCGTGGAATTGGAAGGGACTTTAAATATTTTTAATAGAGCTCCCACATTTTGAGGTGAAGGAAACTGCTCCCCCTAACTACCTGGGTACCTTCAGAGGTGAAGAGATTTGCCTGAGAGAATTCTGAACCCTGAATCAGTGTGTGTGTGGTTTTCATCACTGTTATTGTTGCTACTGGTTTTAAAATTGCAGTTTCTTGCTTCTCATGAACCACAGGCTGAATGGAAATTTATGTAATCAGCATATTAAAAGGTACTAATTTTATATTGTCTAGATTAGTGCTTCTGAATATTCTATATTAAGACACTTCCTTCTTCACCTTGAATAATCATGTAGTCATTCAAGTCCAAATTACATGATGGCCTAGGTCATAGTTCATTATTAATTAGAATCAGTGAGCACAATAGGAAACGAACAATATTTCTGTTACTAGTATTCCAAGAAGGGAAAAGACATTTTCCAGCTGACCCACTCCTGTCTTATGGACAGTACTACTGATACTAGAAGAAAAAGAAAGGAAGAATATATTCTGTTTCTATATCATGACCACATATTGTTATGAATGCCCCCTTCTCTATTACATCTTTTATGTACAAGTATAGCCTTAAAGATTTTCCAGTTGATAATTTTGTTCTTATTTCCCCCATCCTGCACCTATTTTGCTGTTTGAGGTTGAGTTTGGGGCAAGGTGATGAGCATGAAAGAGAATAGACAACTGGCCACCCCCATATTTAGTTCCACACCAGGTTAGCTAACAAAGAGTCACTTTGGGAAGAAAGTTAGTATTTGCAACGGAAATACCTTGAACTCTCATTCATAGACTGTGGGATTTCAGGGCACGAATCATAGAGTGATGATGACAACTCAAGGAGGATATTGTTGGGATGCTCGAACTATCTGAACTATGGAACTATGTTCCAGTTGGTCTGATTGCTTATTGGATGTGGCCCATATCTATCATATACTATTTTCAGATATCAGCTAGTGTTTGAAGATTGAAGGAAAAGAGTATTTGGGTGTTTTGTGTAAATTCATTCCATAGCACTATAATGGTATGAAATATCAATATCTATTCTTCCTAGTTCAGTTTTTAACACCATCTGTGATCACAGTTAAAGGAAGACTTTTAACTTGAGAATTATTAGTTTTAGACAAAAGTGGTTTTTAAAATTAATTTTAACATAGATACTGGGTTGAAGGAAATATGAGGTTTTATTGAATTATTAGGGTAGCTATTCATTTTCAAGGACTCTTGGTACTTCTCTATAAAACTCAATATGAAAGATTATTTAATTTGAAGTCAGCTCTGAAGATGCCAAAAGTATGTTATTAATTAATTACAATTTAATTTAAAATCAAAACTATACAAATCAAATTTTAACTTAATTTTTGAAAATGAATTTTCTTTATTTCTATGTTCTGTATAATTTATTATAGACTATTCACTCGTTCATTCATTTAACAAACATTTTCAGGACGACTTAATATGTGTAATTAAACTAGGCCCTGCAGTATAGGTAAAGATATAGAAGACAGAGTTCCTGATTAAAGATGCTTACAATGGGCTGGGCACAGCGGCTCATGGCTGTAATCCCAGCACTTTGGGAGGCTGAAGCAGGCGGATCTCTTCAGCTCACAAGTTCAAGACCAGCCTGGGCAACATGGCGACACCCCGTCTCTACTAAAAATATAAAAATTAGCTGAGTGTGGTGGTGCCTGTAATCCCAGCTACTCGGGAGACTGAGACATGAAAATCGCTTGAACCCGGGAGGCAGAGATTGCAATGAGCCAAGATCAAGCCACTGCACTCCAGCCTCGGTGACAGAGTGAGACTCTGTCTCAATAATAATAATGATAATGCTTACAATGAGGGAAGATATGATAAAATTTGAGTTTGAAACTTATGGAAAAGTTACAAGATGTTCTCATGTATGCAGAAGCACAAGCACATAGCTTCTCTCTTTGCACCTAATGTCTCTACAAAATATTTTGCTAATAGACAAAGGGTTAAAATATACTGATGCACTTCCCAAATATTTCCTAACTCTTGACTTTATTTCTTACTTTAATAATCACCTAGGGGTTTCACTATTGGGTAGAAGGGGGCCATTTTCTTTTAGAGTAGTGTAGAGAGGGCTAAATGCCACATAAGAAGGCTTGATGGGAGTGAAATCTATGGGAATGGTGACCTTCTCCTGGAGAATCACATACAGAAGAAGTACTTTCTGCGGCAGCCAGCAGGGGGCGTTTCTCCAACCTGTTTTCTGCTCTCTGGGTTGGATACCATCAGCACTGCGGCGCCTGACTACCTGAGTTACTGCAGTAGGCAGGGCAGGATGGAGGTGGAAGGGAAAGAGTACGAAGAGAACTTCATTTCTAGGCTGGAATGGGGCCAACCTGCAGAGACCGCAGTTATAGGGACACATTGTAGCTACTTTGATAAAATTAAAAATAAAAACAAACCGGGGCCGATTGGCTTAGGGTCTGTTAAAAGAACGAAAATGAAACAAACATCTGCTGGAATAAATAATACACTTAAATAGGATGTGTGAAATGCTTCAGAAAGTTTATTGTCATTTCTGTTACCAAAAGGAAGCCTCTTTATTCATTGACTCCATTGTAATAAGCATACTAATATTGATCTTTTCTAATCTAATAATAAGGGAAAAATCTTATACTCAGTGTAAGGGATGACCTTTATAGACAGATTTAAATGTTTATATCATGTTGCTGTGGAAAGAATCGTATTCCCTGAAATTCACATAAACCCTAACCCCCAGTGTGATAGTATTTAGAAACGAAGCCTTTGGGAGGTGTCACATTTAGATGAGATCAGGAGGCTGGGACCCTTATGATGGAACCAGTATCCTTATAAGAGACATCAGGGTGCGCTCTCTCTCTCTCTCTCTCTCTCTCTCTGCTATGTGAGGACACAGTGGGAAGTCTACCATCTGCAAGCCGGGAAGAGAGGCTTCACCAGAAACTGAATCGGCCAGCACTTTGATCTTGGACTTTCCAGCCTCCATCACTGCGAGAAAATGCATTTCTGTTGTTTAAGCCACCCAGTCTATGGTATTTCCTTATGGCAGCCCAAGCTGACTAATACACATGTAAGGAGTTTCAAAAATAACTAAGTAATTTGTTTCAACTTCTCCGTGAGACTTCTGCTAAATGATCATTACAGATACAATGCAGGTACCCATTTGGATGTAAAATCATCTTTTTATCTTTTGCTATATTATCTATGCCTCAGTAAAGAGAATAAAAAGGAAATTATCCTTGATTAATCACATATCTTAACAGTCACCAGCCACGTATCAGTGTAGTTTATTTTTTGATATCACTAAAAGTAATAAATCATACCTGACATCCTTTTTGAAAATTCTCTGGTTTTATCCAGTCTTCAAGCATTCTCAAAATGGAAGCTCCCTACAATGGAGAAAAAAAGACAAATGAAACTAATAAAGGCTATGTAAGGAACAATTATCAGTTATTACTCTTGCAACTAGTATTTCATGATCATATTTGTGAGATTAGTTCCTCAAGAGGATTCTGCTAAATTATATGGCTCTATGATTTGAGGATGAAAATACCACTTGGCACAGCCCCTGTATCTATGCTTCTAAAATAACTAAAAGGTAAAGAGAAATTGCTTCAGGGACTTCAGATTCAAATAATTATTGCACTTCCCCAAATAAACCAGCAGATGGGGCTTTCTTAATCAAAGAGAAATAGTCTAAAAAATCACATTCTTTGATGAATGAGGAAAGTAGTTTCAGGGTAAAATTCTGCCAACTTATTAAATATATTTTCATACTTGAAAATAAGAATTAGATTTAGCAGAGGGAAGTAGATAGTCAAGAAATTATCTGGTCAAACAGCTTAATACACATGGATACATAATTTAGGCATACCATCTTTATCTTCTCAGTGGTCTATCTCATTTGCTTTTCTTTCATTTGAAGAATCTGATGAACACCTTGGCTCTGTACTTTCTTTTTATGTGTTATACGGTTAGTACCGAAATGCACAATTTATAATATTTTAAATCAATTTTCAAGTAACTAAATGAAAAAAAAAACTGTCCCCCACTTAAATTAGTAATTTTTACTGTAAGTTATTAAGCATTCTAAATTAATTTTATAGCTATTTAGAAAGCTAGAGGCCTAGAAAAATTTATTTATCTTGGACTTGATATCTTAAACCTGAGGAGTATCTAGGACTAAGGGGGAAAATGGTTCAATAAATTTAAACTTCTCCCATGTGAATAATTAGAATAGGCTATAAGTGGTTTTGAAATTTTCATTTTAACATAAAGATAAAAGGAATCATTCAAAATGTCAAAGAAAAATGAATACAAGAAGGCTGAACATACACCATGGGAATCATATGAGAGGGAAAGTCAAAAAATATGATGCTAAAAATTTCAAATGCTAATACATAGAAGTTTTTTTCACTCAAGTATTCATTTTAATAATTATAATATTTTTGACTCAAATAAAACTTTAGGTGTCACTCAGGATAACAAAATATATTAGTTTGCAGTAGCTTCTAAGCACCTCAATGTAGCAGGAAAACCATGAGAAGCTGAGGTAGAAAATGACTAAAATAAAAATTTAAATTATGTTACATACAGATATGGAATATGTTTGAAGGAGAGTCTATATGAAATATAGTGGGACAGAATGTGTCACATAAATCTTGGAGTTATAGATTTTCAGCAACTTTTCATAAAATGTTAGTGGAGAAATAAACCTCACCTACATTATGCTAACAAATTCATCTTTACACCTTCTAAAAAGGAATAAAAGTATTTCCTTCTGAGTTGGATTTAAATGCTTATTGCAGGCACTAAAAGGTTCTACTAGAAAAGCTGTGCACATATATGGCATTTCTTGTTTACCACATAAAAGAAAAAGATTTATTGTCTTTTGAAAAATCAAATAAAACAATTTGAATTGTGATGTTTAAAGTCTAAATACTCAATTATCAGAACGAAAATAATTATAAACAAATGTGTAAAGAGAAATTCTTAAAAATCTCTTTTAAAATCCTGTGACAATGACCAGCAATACATTCTACTGAAAAGTATGAACTATTGAATATTCAGCACTCAGAATAAGTTCTACACCGTTTTCCAAAGCTCACTGGCACAGTGTGACCATTCTTACCATTTTTAGACATCTACTAAAAGAAAAGTCACTAAACAGGAAGATGTTCAAAACAATGTTCTATTTCCCCCACCTTACTATAGGATATTCCATCAAAAACAGATGTTATTTCATCAGGGGTTGTCACAGTCACAACAATTGGATGTGAAGACATCAGAGAATCATCCTCTTGTACAGGTAACACATCTTCAAGTAACATTTGGTCACGCTGAAATGAAAGAATGAGCCAAAGAAATATAGTATTTTCTTTGTACTAGTTAATAAATTAAAATACCATATATAAGAAAAATTGGAGGAAAATAAATATAAATGACTTAAGTTACTTAAACGTTAGATCTTCAAATTAATCATATTTTACACTGATTGGTCGATATTGATTTCATTCCCTTCTTCTACTAATAATTCCTTTTAATTTTTCCCCCAGATGACGGGCCAAGAAGACATCAACTTCTGTGAATTCTGCTTCTGCTACTTCTGTATGACTTTTGGACATGTGCCAAACTTTTCAAGCCCCATTTCTATATCTGTGCAATGAGAATGATGACATGACCCCACAGATTTGGTCTAAGAATTAAGTGAGGTAGCATATCAATTTGCCAAATATTGATGTTCGGGGTTTTTAAAAATCACCTTGTTGTCAGAATTTGGATAATTCATAATTAATGAAAGAAAATATTAGCAGTTTATCCGTTAGTTCTAATCACGTCTTGTTTCCCTCCTAGGTTTTGTCAGCAATACAGAGTGGTTGACAGGCCTAGCAGTACTGACAGACTTCCTTGGTTCAAAGCTCAGTCTTTCTGCTTTCCAAATATGTAAGTTTAAGCAAGTTTCCTCACCCATTAAATAGAAGTAATGATGGCCTCTACTTTTTGGAACTGTGCACAGGATTCAATGATAAAATTCATGGTTAGTACTTGGCATAGTACCTGGCACAGAATGAGAACCTAACCCATTAGCTGCTATAGTTACTTTGATTCTTAAGCAGTAAGATTGTGAAATCTAACTCTGCTAAATCACTACTAACTTTAAAAATTTCATTGGCTCTACTTAATTAAAAATATTTCCAAAAGAAGAGTATGCTATATTAGCTTACATTTTCCAATTATGCGGGTTTCATTTATAACAGGAAAGGTACTGCTGTCAAGTGATGACTGCCAATCAAGATAATTTTGACTTGGATTTTGATTTTTGTATACCTAGGAAGTTTAGGCATGGTGAGAAGAAAGATCCTGTCCTCAGTGTCAGGAAGATTGACTATACCAACTGTGTGTGTGGTTTGGGATGTTGCTACCAGCTATCTCTGTGATGTGGGAAAGTTACATCACTTTCCTGGCCTTCCGATTTTTCACCTGTGAAACAAGGGTCCGTGATTGTGGTATTTATTGAGCTCACTTATAAAATATCTTTATTTATCTGACCCTTCCATCCACAAGACCTTAAATTGAGAACTCCTTAAGGGCAAGAAATGTGTTTTATTCATTATTCATTTTGGGGTCCTCCGTTTGCTGAATGAAGAATGAATGAATGGGCCGGGCTCGGTGGCTCAAGCCTGTAATCCCAGTATTTTGGAAGGCCAAGGCAGGCAGATCACGTGAGGTAAGGAATTCAAGATCAGCCTGGCCAACATGGCAAAACCCCATCTCTACTAAAAGTATAAAAATTAGCCAGGAGTGGTGGTGAGGACCTATAGTCCCAGCTACTCAGAAGGCTGAGGCAGGAGAATCGCTTGAACCCAGGAGGTGGAGGTTGCAGTGATCCGAGATTGCTCCACTGCATTCCAGCCTGGGTGACAGAGCGAGACTCCATCTCAAAAACAAACAAACAAAAAAGGAATGAATGAATAGATGAAGGAATGAATGAATTGTTGTGTTGAACCATGTGATTAAATTTCATTTAAGAAGTGCATAGCAAATTTTTCTGGAATTTAGCCACTGCTTTTGAAACATAGAACTTGGAATATTAGACAATATTAAAATGTTATAATTTCTTATAACAGTTTGCTATAAGGGCCTCAGGACACTGTAAGGGAGAAAATAAAGGATGTAATTTTCCATTTATACAGTTTATTTTCAATAAATTATAAAATCAGAAATTTTCCATGTAGATGAGTGGTTTTCAACTGGAGGAGATTTTTGTCCCCCATGGGACACCTGGAAATATGTGGAGACATTTTTGGTTGTCACAACAGGAACTGGCGGGTTACTGGCAATTATAGAAGTCGGGGATGCTAAGTATCATATAACGCACAGGAAAGTCCCCCACAAAAAAAGAATTATCTACTCCAAACTATGAATAGTTCCATAGTTGAAAAAAACCCAGATGTAGATAAGATTTTTAAAGAAGTAATTGTTGTAAATTAGCCTTTTCACTTTGTAAATTAGGCTAGGGAAACTGTAAGGGCTTCAAGCATTTAACTTTTTTATTCTGTCCAGTAGAGGGCGGTATTTCACATAGTACAAAACCTCTGGCAATTAGACACATCCACATATTTGTACATTCACATATACAATCAGATAAGAATACTCCCGTGATATAAATATAAATAACAAATATACCTAGCTTTTCTGAAAAAAAATTTTAGGGTTCACAAAAGTTTCCATTCTAGGCCTCTGAGGGACACACTACATGTTAATAGTCATTACATGTGCATTTGGGAGCTTTTCAGCTTACAAGATAGAAAATAATGTTCTATTTCATAAAGGAGAAAATGGACTCAGAGATATTATGTAACTTGCTCAAGGTCATATTCCCTGTCATGCATCCAAGAAATGATGTGTTCAGGATTTGAACTTCAATCTAACTACTAAGTTTATGTTATCTCTTCATCACACTATTTCCACAGTCTGTCTGAAATAAGATAAATCATTCACAAATGAGACTCTGACATTTTTTCAAAGGGTTAGTGCTATAAATACTTTCTGGAACACAGAGTTCACATTTTCTTTGCCACCTATTTTTTTTTTCCTGCCTTGATAATGTGTTTTTGAGTGACTCTGTCAAGGATATCCCCAGACTGGGATGATCAGCTGCCCCTCTAGTGACTGGGCAAAGGCTCTGGGCAAGGTGGATTCAGTGGAAGTCAGCTGGCTCCACCCTATCCCTCACGGTGGAATTCCCCGTTCACCACTGTACTTGCCATCTGACTTGGGACCATGATCATAGTACAAAGGCTTCTATCTGCTTTGCATGAGGAAAGGAGAGATTTCAAGTTTATGTGTCTAGGACTCACCATTTGCCAGTCTGTTTCTGCATGGTTTACTCCCAGAAACTCAAAGAAAGAAGCAAATCCTTCATTTAGCCACAAGTCTTCCCACCAGTCCATGGTCACAATATTTCCAAACCACTGAAATTATAAGCAATAAAGAGATAATTACATTCTTATGGTTATGGTAGAGAGGCCTAGAAAATGTCAAAACATTTATTTGTCCGTGCCAATGTTGTCACTGTGACAGAAGTGGCAGGCATTGTATTTAACATTTATTTTCTCCTTTATTCTGATTATTTAAATGATATTAAATTATCCTTAGTTTATTGCCTTTATTTAGTTATTACTGGGGTATGTAAATTTAAAGGAAGCCCTCGTGTGTATTTCCTGAAGGCAAAATAATGTGTTTCAAAGTCTCTTTATGGCTAAATGTTTATTAGTACTAAGAAAGATTTTCATGCAAGTTTTTCTGAGTTGGCTATTTTTTATTTGCTAAGTCATAAATAATTTGAATTATTCCTGTGGTCTTAAGCCACTTTTAAAAACAAGTTGATTCAGTGATAAGATTCTATACCTGATGTACAAGTTCATGGGCAACCACAGTGGCCACCCTCTGTTGGTTTGATGAGGCTGATTCCTCAGGGTCGTAAAGCAGGTTCGTTTCTCTGTATGTGATGAGTCCCCAGTTCTCCATAGCACCAGTGCCAAAATCTGGAATAGCGATTTTATCTATAGAAGAAGAAAGAGTCCAGTGAGAAATACATTCTTTCCATTTGTTCATAGCATTTCTTACCAAATTAAGTTATTTGGATGAATGTTTTTTAAAAGGCTAAAAATAATTTCTTAGAGTAAAGAACTATAATCGTGTGTGCAAACATTTCAGTCCTAATGCACTCAGAATTTCCATAGAGCATTCCCTGTTGGCTCCAGATATCAATGCTTTGTTTTTGTTTTAAAGAAGGACAGTAATGGCAACACCTCTATAATTTTATGTCTTTTGTTTCTCTCTGTATTTCATTTTTGTTAGCTACATCTGTTTTAGGGGATAAACTGTGAGGAAAAAGAGAAGTTTTCAAGTTAGTATTTAGAAGTTCTGAGCTTCCAAGTGTACAGATAGAGTTTTCCATCCAAAGTCACAGAATATTCGAGAACATAAAACTCTATTTTTCTCTGATTCTATGAAATTTAATTGATTCTCTACCAATCTAATGGCTTACCATCTGCTTTTATGTATTAAATCAGTTGGAGAAACATGGAGTTGACTATATTCTCTCTAAATTCCCTTACAGTTCTAAAATGTTGGATAGGAGTTTCTATAATCTTACACATAATATCTGACAGGAGGAGGCAGTGTTGATCAGTTCTATGTTAAATTCCAAGAAAGAAAATGCTCAGTTGATCAGTGGCCAAAATACAGCTTCCTCAGTTAATGAGCGGTGAACAGAATGTAATTTCTTTATTGTTACATATAATTTAAATGAGGAACAGAAATGAAAATAAATTGATTTTTCACTTAACATATAAGAGAAAGCCCTTTCTTTCTGGTTAAAATAAATATTCTTAAAGCTTTTTATAAAAGAATGAAGAGGGATGTATCTTAAATAGAGGTCAAGATTACAATAGTAGTTTCCTTTTCATGTTATCATCATTTTTAGGTTTGGTTATTTTATCACGAAACAGTCATTTCAAAGGTAGAGAAGTATCTCCCCCAAGGGCCAGTATTTTTCATAATGTGGAGTGTAGTTTGCACTTAATCCTTGAACAAAAGGAATTTTTTGCAATTTCTTTTTTTTTTTTGGTCAGTATTGGCATTATAACTAACTAATTCGTGTATATTTAACTCTTTGGAATCTAATAAATGCAGAAGTCACTTCTAAGGAGTCTAAGATATAATTAATTCTAAGAGGGTTGAAAATGCACATAAAACAGAATAAAGGAGTTGGGGAGAAGAAGAAAGAAAGAGAGAAGAAGAGAGTAATAAATTTGTGAGATTTCCACTTCTCAGGTTATCCTGGGTGTTACAACTGAGATAAAAGGCAAAGGATCTTTAAATTCATGTGCACAAAATTTTATTAAATATTATTCTGCTATTTTTACATTGAGATAAGGTCTTCTGTCACCCAGACTGCAGTGACACGATCATGGCTCACTGCAGCCTCAACCTCCTGGGCTCAAGTGATCCTCCCACCTCAGCCTCCTGAGTAGCTGAGACTACAGGTGTGTGCCACAACACCTGGCTAATTTTTGTATTTTTTGTAGCGATGGGGTTTCACCATGTTGCCAGGCTGGTCTTGAACCTCTGGGCCTCCCAAAATGTTGGGATTACAGGCGTTAGCCACTGCACCTGGCCCAATATTCTGATTTTGATGAAAACTTGTTTCTTTTTTCAGCTCCTTCTCTAACATTTGTTAAGCAATCAAAAAATAGAACTGTATCCATTGAAGAGACATGCAGCATCTACAAGCTTGCTCTGAGCCACAGCCATTCCCATGCAAAGAACTTGGCATTCCTCTTGTTTGCATTGATAATTTATTAAACTAAAGGCAGAAACAAAAACAGGGAAGCCAACTGTTGGCTAATTTGTTTTACTGCCTTCATTTTATCCCTACAAACATCTATATGGGTGTTATATTTAAAGTCTTTGTTAATAGCTTTCGAGCTTATTAATAAAGCATTTCCACTATTGACAGAAATGTCATATGCACACCATCTTGGTTGTAGCCCCACTTTTGCTTTAAGAAGAATGCATGCTTCCCTCTGTATTAGAAAAAATTATTGCTGGAAGGAGCGCCAGTATTTCATTAAACTGCTGGGGAATCTAGAATTTGCCTTATACAACAATGGAAAGACTATAAGCACTTGGGACTCTTACAACATCATTTATCCCTATTATTTTTTAACTCACTGATGACAGGGAGGCAGAGCAAGTATTGGGATGAATGCTGATTTTGAAATCAACTGATCTAGGTTGCTATTTGTGGCTCCATCACTACCAAGTTCTGCAATTGTGTGCACATACTTTCATCTTTATTTAGAAACACAAGACTATATATTTATCAGATAAGAACAGAGTACAGCCTGGGCATGGTTGCCCATGCTTGTAATCCTAGTACTTTGGGAGGCCAAGGCAGGCGGCTCACTTGAGCCCAAGATATTGTAGGCATATAATAAAAGGACTTAAGGATAACTGTTAACTGATGGTGACATAATTAGAAGAAATGAGTTAACTTAAATAAAAACAAAGGCAATATTAAAAATAAGAAAATTTTAAAAATGATCCTCACCTAATTTAGGAAGAGAATAATTCATAGCAAAGTATTCTTCAAAATAATCAAACACACTTTTAGTTATGTTTGCAGCATATTCGGCTGTGTGCTTTTGCTCTGGCTGGACATAAATTGTAAGCTATTAAACAAAACACAAAAAATTCAGTGAAAATTATTCTTCATTCAACAAAATACAAAAACTGTGATGCATAACATACTTGAAAGAAAGTGGACTTTGGAGCCAAATATGTCTAATTTCAATTCCAATTCTGCCTCCTACTAGCTGTGTTGTCTCATAAATCACTTCACATCTCTGAGACTCTGGAGGAATTTTACGTAAAATGTTAATAAAACTTCACAACTCACTAAGTGATTCTAATGACTAGAAATAATGTAAGACAGAACGGTTGGCACAATGTCCCAGACATTTGAAAACTGTTATTAGTTTTTTCTACTTAGAACATATATTATGTTCTTAAAATCTATGAATGTATCTATTCATCCATCCATATACTCACCTATCAATTTCTCTCTTGCGTGCTCTTTCTCTTTCTCTGTCTCTGTCTCTTTCTCTCTGTGTAATTTGTCCTTGAGGAATTGAATTAATGGAATTTTTCTCATCTAAAGAGCCCCTGAATACATGTTTTCCACTTGTGCTATTCTATCTAGTTATTTCAAAATAACCCTTCTGATATTCCAACTATTCAGCTCCAGAGCCTAAAATATAATGATCCAAACATTTCCTGAGAGAAAGTCATCTTGGTAAGCTACATCAATTCCCTAAGTCGCTACTTTGTGTCCTTTTGACGTAATTTATAAATCAAACCAAGTATAGATTTTTGTCCCCAATTCTAAGCGTGTCTGACTTTATAAAAAATTTTTCAGAATCCTCTTCAACATAGTGTCATGAAAGCAGGTGTGGTCTCCGGACAAGAATATCACAGGTGTTTAGGCATTTCTCAATATGTGAAAGAGGAAGCAGTGCCTCAGACAACTTGTGTCTGCTAAATATTTGTGAGAAATTCAAATAAAATATACCTGCTAAGCCTACAACCTGATTCAAAACCCTCAAAGAAAGCAAAAGATGTAATCATTTGGTAAGTTCAAGATCATTTACCTAATTAGAACAGCGGACTGAGGATTTAAACAAGAAAAAAAAAATACTGCCTACTCTCTTTATTATTCCCAATGCATTGCTAGTTTTGGTATTCATTTAAGCACACATCTTGAACCACCTTTTCCTAGAAGCAAAGAACACTGGAATGATTCACTAATGTAAAGAACACGTTCTGAAAGAACATCCCTTAAATTACCATTGCTGGCTCACTATTCTCACATCCATTGGGTAATTGGCATTCTTGCTTTATTTGCATAAATAAAGATGTGTTCATCTTCACCTCCGAAGATGGCACAACTCACTCAATCGTCTCAATATTCTTAGAAGTTTTTTTTTTTTCTTACAGAAGCGATGATGCATTTTCTCTAATAGTTGTTAAGCAATCAAAAAGTGAAACTGTTTGGATTACCCTCCTGTCCTCTTTGTGAACAATGACAGGCAATTTCCAAGAAGTTGAATGAAACTAAGGCTCTGGTTTTTGGCCATTGAACAGAGTAAAGGGAATTGACCATCTAAAATAAAGGTCACCACGTTCATACAGGATTGCCATGTCATAAACCAAGAGTCTCAGAATTTTCCTCTGTGAACTAACTGGTGTGTCAAAACTCTCAGATTTTCTATCACGTCTGTTCTCTACCATTAAAAACTTCCAGAAGGGCAGTCCTCTTGACCCGCTCCACTGTTGTCTACACACTCAGTGCTTTGGTGCTGCACATAATATTTGGGGAGTGAAAGAGAATTGTGAAAGAAGATGAAAGATCATGGTGAGGTCTCCCACCGTAGGTGGAGCAATGGGAAGGAGAAAGACTCAATGTGTTCTCTCTGCTAATATTTTCTCATTTCCCGTCAGTAAATGAACTCCCTTTAAGCAGTATGCTTCTGAGACAATGTAATTTATTTTTCTTTCTCTGTATTTCTGTTGGTGACAGTGGAAGGCAATGTGTTTAAAGAAGATTGATGGTTAATGTAAATTCAATCAAAATAAAAGCAGTCCCTTCCTCTTTTGTTTCTGAGAAACTCAAGTCCATAGAAATATGCTCTGTCTTTGCGGCCTGGTCAGTCTGCAGACCATCTGTGATCTATGACCCTTCATAATCAGGGTCAGCTCTTCACCAAGCAGGGACCTCAGCTCAGGCCGGCAGTGCAGCGGCCCCATCCCCTGGCTGAACATTCCCAGTAGCAGCAGTTCTGCATTTCTCTAAGGTGGATCTCCCAGAGGCAACTGAAAGCCCCTCTGCCATGGCTGCTGCAATGGTACTGCCCTTGCTGACCTTGGACTAGGAACGGATCAAAGACCAAGTGCTTTAACCATACTTCCAGTAAGCTGCAGCCACCCTTCTTAAGGAGAAGAAGCTAGTTTGTCCCAGCCACAACCCCCTGTTACCCCTGCTCATCACCAGGCAGGCCCTTGACTTGGGCACATGATACAACCACCTGACCCTGGGCTGATTGCACCAATTAGTAGTGGCTCTGCATTTCTCTGGGGTGGAGTTCCAAAAGACCAGTGAAAAGCCCTCTGCCACAATGACTGCTAAGGTCCCTTCCCCTGCTGCCTCCAAGCTGCAGAAGGAGCATAAAGCCTGAACTTGCTCCAAGGCTGTGGTGAGCAACCCAGGAGTGCCAAGCTGAAATCTGCAGCCAGCACTTGAGTGGGAGAGGAGCCCACAGTTTCAGAGCACTGAGAGAGAGCACAGTTGCAATCAGGAGGAAATACAGAGGAGCCATGTGGCTGAGCAAGAGCCTAACTACTGGCCATTATGCTTAAGCACCATCTACTGGATCACAGCCCAAACTTCAGCACCAAAAATACTTTGCTAACATAAACCCCTGCGAAACCAAGGACACGAATTCAGCCACAAATAATGACCCAGCACAAACACTTGGTCCTCTGAAAACATCCAGGAAAGAAATCAACTGACTGTACTCAAATTACACCACAGTCGAGGGAACATCTGCCACCACAGTTGAGGGAACGTCAGCCCACACAGATGAGAAAGAACTAGTGCAGGATCTCTGGCAACTCAGAAAGCCAGACTGGCTTCTTTCCTCCAAACAACCACACTAGTTCCACAGCAAGGGTTCTTAACCAGGCTGAAATGACTGAAATGATAGCAGTAGAATTCAGAATATGGATAGGAAGAAAGATCATTGAGATTCAGGAGAAAGTTGAAACCCAATCCAAGGAATCTAAGGATTACAATATAACAATACAGGAACTGAAAGACAAAATAACCATTATAAGAAAGAACCAAAGTGACCTGACAGAGCTAAAAAACACACTACAAGAATTTCATAATGCAATCACAATTATTAACAGCAGAATAGGCCAAGCTGAAGAAATAATCTCAGAGCTCAAAAACCGGCTCCCCAAACTAACTCAGTCAGACAAAAATAAAGAAACATCATGAATAAGAAGAATCAATATTGTTAAAATGGCCATACTGTCCAAAGCAATTTACAGATTCAATGCTGTTCCTATCGAACAACTAGAGATAGTTTTGACACAATTAGGAAAAACTATTTTAAAATTTATATGGCACCAAAAATATAATAGCCAAGGTAATTTTAAGCAAAAAAGAAAAGCTGGAGGAATCACGTTACCTGACTTTAAACTATACTACAAGCCTACAGTAACCAAAAGAGCATGGTACTAAGACAAAAATATACACGTAGACCAAGGACACAGAATAGAGAGCCCAGAAATAATGCCACACACCTACAACCATCTGATCTTCAACAAAGTTGACAAAAAGAAGCAATAGGGATAAGGCTCTCTATTCAATAAATGATGCTGGGATAAATGACTAGCCATATGCAGAAGACTGAAACTGGACCCCTTCCTTACACCATAAACACAAGTCAACTCAAGACAGTTTAAAGACTTAAGTGTAAAACCTAAAACTATAAAAACCCTGCAAGATAACCTAGGAAATACCATTCCAAACATAGGACCTGGCAAAGATTTCATGACAAAGATGCCAAAAGAAACTGCAACAAAACCATAAGTAGGCAAATGGACTTAAACTAAAGAGCTTCTGCACAGCAAAAATAACTATCAACAGAGTAAACAGACAGCCTACAGAATGAGAGAAAATATCTGCAAACTATGCATCCAACTAAGGTAAAATATCCAGAATCTATAAAGAACTTAAACAAATCAGCAAGCAAAAACAAACAACCCTATTAAAAAACGGGCAAAGGATGTGAACAGACACTTTTCAAAAGACACTTTTCATATATGGCCCACAAGCATATGAAAAAATGCTCAACATCACTAATCATTAGAGAACTGCAAATCAAAACCACAATGAGATATTATCTCGCCCAGTCAGAATGGCTATTATTAAAAGGTCAAAAAAATAATATGCTAGCAAACTTGTAGAGAAAAGGGAACACTTATACACTGTTGGTGGGAATGTAAATTAGTTTACACATTGTGGAAAGCAGTTTGGCAATTTCTCAAACAACTAAAGCAGAATTACCAAATGATCCAGCTATCTTCTTACAGGATATACACCCAAAGAAATTAAATTGTTCTGCCATAAAAACACAGGCCTCCATATGTTCATCACAGCACTATTCACAGTAGCAAAGACATGGATGGAATCAACCTATTTTCATCAACAGTAGACGTATAAATAAAATGTGGTATATATATACCAGGGAATACTTCACAGCCATAAAAAGAATGAGATCATGTCCTTTGCAGCAGCATGGATAAAGCTAAGAGAACTGGCATAGCAACAGAGAACCAAATACCACATCTTCTCACTTGTAAGTGGGACCTAAACATTGAGTACTCACGGACACAAAGAAGGAGGCAATAGACATCAGGGCCTACTTGAAAGTAGAGAGGGAGGAGGGTGAGAATGGAAAAACTACCTATCGGGCACTATGCTTATTACCTAAGAAGTGAAATAATCTGTACACCAAACCCCTATTACATGCAATTTATTATATAGCAAACATGCACATATACCCCGAACCTAAAATAAAAGTTTAAAAAAGAAATATTTTACAGA